AAGTGGATAATAGAAGGAAATGAAAGTTAATAGTGTTGAGTCATAGTTAATCTTTGTTCTGTTACCTATTAGCTCCAATTCCCTTTTCTTCTATGGACCACACTTTTATCTTCTGGGGGAAAAAATGTTAGATAATGTCATCATTTCAGCATTTTTTTATTCTAATAGAATCCATATGTTTCATACTTCATTAGTGTAATGGTACCATTCATGTTAAAACTACCTTTAACTGCTATTCTTTTGGCATATTTAAGAAATCTCTTACTAAGAAATGTGTTGTCATGAAGGCCTAGAATATTATTTTTTAAGTTGAAAAGTATAATAAAAAATAAATTTAAGTGTAACTTGAATATTATTTTCTTGGTGAAGAAAATTGCATAAAATCTATATAAGCAGTACAGACCCATGCTAAATTCCTATACAGAGATTTAGGAAAAAGGAGCACTGGGTCTCCACTTACATTTTCTTTGACTTTTCCTCAGTTTTTCTATTACCTTTTGGAAACATAAAATGATTCCAGGTAAGAAAAATGAACACACAAAGGAAATATAAATATACCCATTTGAAAAATAAGTGGGATTAAAATATTGTTTATTCAATTACTTTATTTCTTATGTCATATATAAGTAAACAAGATAGAAATATACCTATTAAATCCTAAATATTATTAAATCAACTTCACAGATACATATTAAAATTTGTTATTATTGGGTGTATTTCTAGTAGTATAATGAAGTTATGGTTATATACATGAGACACCCATCCCTCAGTGTGTATATATGTAAATATACCCCCTAAATAATTCAAATCAGAAAGTTCACTGCACATTTAGCACTAAGTATTCCTGATTAACTGTTTTATCATAATGAAATGTCTCTCTTTGTCCTGAAATTGGTTTTGTCTAATATTAAAATAGGCACATCAAGTTTCCCTTGATATGTTTGCATAATATATATTGTTTTACCCAACCCACCCACCTTTACTTAAAAGCTTTCCTTACAGTTGGTATAATTAATCCAATTAGCATTTAGTGTAAATATCAATGTGGTTTTGTTTAAATCTACCTTCTTGCTATTTTTTATGCATTTTTAATTTTTTATTATTTTTATTACAGTTCGCATTCAACACTTTTTTGCATTAGTCAGGGGTCCAGCACATTGGATAGACATTCATGTAGGTTACCAAGTGTTCCTTCTGATAATTTAAGTGCCCACCATAGTTATTACAGCACTGTTAACTGTATTCCTTATGCTATATTTTACATCCCATGCCTGTTTTGTAACTACCAATTAGTACTTCTTAATCCCATCACCTTTTCTGACCCTGTTTCCCAACATCCCTCCCCTCTGGCCTCCATCAGTCTGTTCTCTGAGCCTATAATCTGTTTCCTTTTTGTTCTTTAGATTCCATATATAAGTGATACCATATGGTATTTGTCTTTCTTTGAACTATTAGTTGTCACTTCCATCTTGCTTTTTTTTAAAAAAATGTATCCTTCATATGACTCCTTTGCAGCTTTTTTATATTAACTGAAAACCTTTTGTTATTCGTTTTTGTATAGATTTTTTAAAAATATGTTTTTATTGATTTTAGAGCGAGAGGAAGGGATAGGCAGAGACAGATACATCCATGAGGAGGAAACATGGATCTGCTGCCTCCTGCACACCCCCTACCTGGAATCGAGCCTGCAAGCAGTGCATGTGCCCTGACAGTAATCGAACCTGTGAGCTGTTGGTGCATGGGATGACACTCGACCAACTGAGCCACACCAGCTGGGCTGTATAGCTGTTTTAGAGGAAATCTTGCAGAGTATAGTCTCTTGCTAGAACCAGATTAAATTAGAAAACCACAATAAGATATCTAGAAATTATCCCAGTATTTGCAAGTTAAATAACAGACTACTGAAGAACTCAGTGATTAAGTAAAAAATCACAAAGAAAAATTCAAAATTATTCTGAAGCTAATCATAATGAAACATACAGTTTATACTTGACATTACTTAAGAAGAAAAATTTATTAACACATTTTATAAACCATAAACTTGAAAACTAAATTTTCTGAATGATAATTATAACTAATAGCTCAACCTTTTTACTTTCTTAATGTATCATATTTGGGTAATGTGGAAGTAGAAATCTTCTTCTTATTAACATTTGGAATGAATAATTCTTTGCTGTGGTGCTATCCTGTGCATTACAAGGTGTTCAGCAGCTTCCTTGGCCTTTACCTTAGTAACACAACATTCCTAAACATGGCACTCAAAAACAGCTCCAGGCATTATTCCCTGGACTGAGAACCACGGAGTTATATTTCTACACCTAACACTTACCAACTTTGTTTCCATTGGAGTTTATTTAACCATTCTACGCTCCTATATTTGTTGATAAGTATGATTTGAAGAAAAGATAATGCACACCAGGAGATTAACATTGTGTTTGCCATGTCAACTCTCAACAAATATGAAGTTATCTATTCTCAACTGTGTAAATATGGACTGTAAAAAAACTCACCAACTAAAATGGCATCTTGCTATGGTTAAACTACTTAAAAAGTTTGCTTTAATCTTTTGGTTTATAATCTTGTTTATATAAATTTATCATTGTAATTAAAATGTGTCAACCTTCATTTATTTCCCATTAACATATGTTAATCATAGAAGTAGACTAGGATTAAACAATCCATTTTATTGTGTCAAAGATTCTCTTTTCCCTGGCCAGTGTGGCTCAGTTGGTTGAGCACCATCCCATGCACCAAAAGGTTGCTGGTTCGATTCCAGCTGGGGTACATGCCCAGGCTTCGGGCTCAATTCCCAGTAGGGGCATAAAGGAGGCAGCCTATTGACATTTCTCTCTCTCCCTCTCTCTCCTTTCTCTCTAAAAGTCAATTAAAACAAAAAAAAGATTCTACTTTTTGATCTGTCCATCTGAGCGCCATAAACAAGACATTTACCACATCTGATTCCCAGTGTTCTCTATTATGACATGAGAAAATATAAAGTCCCTGATGATTTCAACATGCAAAATATGAAGTCCTTTAAAAATTATAAGCATCAATAATTTTAAGAAATCCTTCTTAAATTATTTATAACCTCTAAAATGATAAGAAAGAATTGAAAACATCATCTGCAACATTTTAAACAAAAATAAAATTAAGAAAAAAAAACCACAAGAAAAACACACAAAATCTAAGCATGTATATAAAAAACAACCAAAACATTTTTAATGATTTAATATGAATATAGCCTTTAGGGGGAGAACAGAATGAGATATAAGTAATTTAAATACAACTCTAGAAATAAAATAATCTTTCTTAAGTAGAAATTCAAATCAATGTTGAAAGGCATAATATATTACATATCAAGATATTGCACAACTTCAAATAATAATAGCCCACATATCTTATAAAAAATTATATTTTTTACTCATACTAGCTTTTACAGATTCTCATTCAAGCATTAACTAAATATTTGTTTAGTAAATATACCCAAGTCATTACTTTAATGAGTATCACCATAATTTTTCTTTCAAGAAGCTAGTGTAGTTTAGTTTAGGAGGCTCAGGATACAATGAAAGGTAGTATATGGACAAGGTACAGTCAATAACTTTTGTGAGAGTGAAAACGTGGTCTGAAGCAATTACAACTCTAGGAATTAAAGATATGCTTGATGAAACATGAAGTTGCTGAGGAGCTTAAAAAAATAGTAGGACTTGTTGTTTTTTTAAAGGAGAGGGGTAGATGTCCTAAATAGGGCATAGAGCAAGAGCAAGGCTATGCTTGAAATCCTTGGGTTTGGTAAGATCACCATCCTACCAAGCGGCCAGATGTTGCTGGGAATATGGTTTGCAGCCGGATTAGATAGGCCTCTCAATGCCAGATGGAAGGCTTTTAGCTTTTATACACAGCAGATTAGGATACTTTTGTTTAGAATGACATCATACAAGTATTTTGTAACATGGAGAAAAACAAATTTGAAATGGGAATTGGAAAAGAAAACCAGAAAGTAATAATATTACTACCAACATTTAAAAAAATATGACAGTATGACAGATTGGATTAATGCCACAATTAATCGGTAAGTTTCTGTAAGCACTACTTTTAATATAGATGCCCAATTTCTATTTTTTATTATTCTAATTCATACAAATGTATGAAATGTATGAAATTTATTTTTGGTTTACAAACGCAGTTAAAGGGAAAAAAATTTTCTATACACATACATTTTTATATTTAGAAAACATACAAATTAGAGTATATTCAAACAGATTATTTTTTCCTGATTCTTGCAGACATATAACACTATTTATAACATATGAGGGAAAATATGCTATTTTGTAAATTTTCTGATTATCTATTATCAGCCATACGACTCCTCAACTGGAAGGCAGCTATGCTAATCGTGAGGAGCCCTGTAGCTCCTGTCCAACACATGTCACCTAAAAGTTCTGAGTAAACCTATTAGGGGGGGAAAATTCAATGAAATAGAAAACTGTATTTTGGGTAATCTAAGGACCAACCCCATCACCATCTTGTCCTTTGATTTTCCTGAGCAGGCATGCTTTTCTTTGAGTATCAGGTACCACTGTTCCCCTGCTTAAGAGAATGAGAAGATACATTCCTACTCTTTTCTAACCCTGTGAACATTAAGAACTTTCAGGTTAAAAAACATGGTCATAGTTATTTTAGTTCTCAAGGTAAACATCTATTTCCCTACAAACTCTGGCTTACATTGCTAAAGTGCTCTGCTGTATTTCGGAAATGTTATCAGAAAATATTTTTCATAAAAGTTCTTTGATTATTTTTTTTAAGCACACTGATGCAAGGAATTGAAATTCACTACATAGTAAAAAACAAAACCAGCTTAAAGTACAAAGGGAATACATATTGAAAATGTCTCTGTGCTTTTAATGAAGCCTACACCAAGCGCCAAGAAAAGCTAAGCAAAACAAAACAAAACAAATAAAACAAACAAAACAAGAACAATTACTAAAATTGGCACTTACCCATATTTTGCAAAATTTGCCCAGCGTTTCATTATGGATCTACTCAAAATTTCCTCAGCTTTTGTGTAGTTTGCTCTTCTTTCCAGAGGTAGACCAAAGACAAATTCAATTTCATAGCCATGCATCACTCCCATCCATTCAGGCCACGGAAGTTTGGAGGATCGGTGTTCAAAATAGTAGAAAAAGGCATTACTTCCCAAATCTGCGAACTTTTTGGTGAACTCCAAGGCGGGGCATATGAAATTGTAATCCCCAACCACATCATCCAAGGCCTCGCGGTAGTTTTCAGCTCTTTGATCGTCTAACCAGTCCATGTAATGGAAAAGAATCGATTCCCTTCCAAATTCACTCACTTCTGGAAAAAACATTTTTAAACTTTCTTGAAATTCTTTTCTACTTATGAGACTGTTGTTATCTTTGCTGAAACCGGGAGCTCCATATACTAAAAACGCTGTCCCTTCATCTTTATTAACACCCACCAAGATCTGGGTTTTTTTAAACTCTCCAAGTCTGAGTAGTGTGTCCGGCATGTCAGTGAGAAAATCGCCATCCACAGTTGGACCAAAAGTTATCGACAAGAGAGAATCGGAGGCGACAACAAATACTTCATTCAGAAGAATTTCCTGGGGATCTTTACTTCGAAGGCATTTGATTATCTCGGTCTCATTTTCTCTAAAGCAACCAATAAATTTAGCTAAGGTCAATGTTCTATTCCTAGCTTCATAAAGAGGTGTTAGTGCCCAAGGGGCATTAGAAGATCCACTTTGCAGAATTGCTCTGGTAAACAATGGGTGGCTTCTATGGGAAAGTAAGTGAAGGCCAACTGAAGCTGCTCCTGCACTTTCTCCAAAGAGAGTTACACTTTTAGGATTTCCACCAAAGGCTGCTATATTTTTTTGGACCCACTGAAGTGCCAACTGTTGGTCAAACAAACCCATGTTCCCCGGTGCCTCTGAATTTCCTGGTAAAGCTAAAAATCCTAGGGCACCCACCCTATAGTTCATTGAAACTACAATAACTCTTTCAACCCGGGCCAGAAACTTGCCATCGTAAACAGGTAAAGATGATGTTCCAGTTTGAAAACCACCACCGTAGATCCATATCATTACAGCCGCATTTTTTGGTTTAGGTACCGGAACCCATACATTCAGATATAAACAGTCTTCACTGAGGTCAGTATTTGGATTCCACATCTCTGATCCAATGAAGCCTGGAAAAGTTTGATCTATGTTCTGATAGCAAGAATTTGCATATTTTGTGGCATTCCAAATATTGGACCACTTGGTCAAGGACTGTGGCTTTTTGAACCGAAGCGTACCAAGAGGTGGCTGTGCATAGGGAATTCCAAGAAAGGCTGCCACTGTGCCACCAAGAACTGGCAAGTGCATCCCTCTGACTTTACCATTCTTGGTTGTAATGATGATGTCTTCCTCAGTGTGTGCTTTCCCAGTAAGTATCCAGAGCAGGAGAAACTGCAGAAGAAATTGGATGCACATGATTGTACCCTTGCTCTGCATATTAGTTTCTGAAAGAGAGGTAAGTAGGAAGTGTTAACAACCTCATGCATCTGGCCTTATATTTTATTGATAATAACTAACTAAAAGATAGTAGTTCATATTAATCCTACAAATGATGAAAACTAATAGATCTGCAGCCACTGCAGAAGTTTATGTAAAAAGAAACAAACATAAAGCAGTTGGAAACATTTTAGTCTTTAATTTCAAAAACAATTAAGTGGAATGAAAAAGTAGAAACTATTTTACTTTGGAAAAATTCATCATAAAACTTCTGTAAGGAAGATTTAGTATTTTATAGAGATTATTTGTCTCAAGCATGTATGTACACTTCTTACCATACACAGCCCCACCATAGTGGCATTAAGTGATAGTCTGTTTATTACAGATATAATTTCTACCTTGGTTAGAGGAGGAAATAAAAGCCCATGTATTCTATGAAGTATGTACAGTTCTAATCACAGCTGGCTGGCTCTTAACAGAACTGAGATTAGGTTAAGAACCTTTAAGGGTCCTTAGTCTTCTATTATTGTCTTTTTCAGTTTCCATGGTCCCTTCTGTGGTCTTTTTTGCCTGTATACAATCTCAATCTATGGTAAGAAGAGATTTTGGACAATCTATTCATTGCATATTAAGTTACAAAAAATACACTACTTCCCTTTTATCCTACACATTGTGAAAACTAACAAATCTGTTACCCTTATGAAATCTACGGAAAAAAATTGGAAAGAGAGGTCTGCGGATATGTACAAGTTAATTTCTCTGAAATTGAATAACCATGAAGTCTTCCCTACCTGAATTAAAATGTCAATGGAGAGAACAAGTGGTTGATAATATAATTCATGGGAGGAGATACTGATTTAGAAGGAATTTTACACTCAGGGATTATTCAATGAAAATATGTTAATTTGTTATTTATTAAAGTATGCGCAATTAGTGAGGTTAAATATGTTAGCATGGGCAATATAATTCCAACTCACCTTCATGCTACCTATTGGAGAGTGGTACATGCCATATTATTAAATCTAAATTTTAATATTAAAATATGCACGTGTACACATATTTATTTTTAGTGTAAGCTAACATTTTTATATTTAGCTGCATTAATTTATTTAAATAAGTATTATTTTGCCCCTTTCATAACCTGTTATTCTCAAACCTAACTCGTTGCTCTGTAGTTTTACCATTAAGAGATGTTTATATTATTAATATATACCATTACATGGTTAAACATTCTAAAGAGAAAGAAAGGTGGCTATGAAAATGTTAGTCTATATCTTTAAATCTTTATCAATAATTAAAATATTCAATAACATTTTATTTTTAATTAATTTTAGTGCAAATTGACTACTATCCCATTAAATAAACACTTTAAACACTGAGAACACGTAACACATTTATCATAAAAAGTGGGGTGAATTTTCAAACCAAATACAACTATCTGAATTTAGATCAGTTAATTTATTATCATAATGTTTAATACTTGAAAGAAGGGCAGGAGTTATTGTTTGGAATTACAAAAGGAAATGAAAGATGGGAATGAGAAGGGGGAAAAACCTGAAACATAAATACTATAGTGTTCAAAGCTTATCAAATGCTCCAGGATATAAAAGCATACTGGAAATTTTGGAAGAACATTATAAACTTTTAAAAATACAACTTTCTAAATAAAAAAGGTAAAATAATTTCCTTCATTTTGATTTTTAATTCAATTTTGAAAGCAGTATCAGAATCCCTTGACCAATTTTAAAAAGAAAATTGCAATGTTGCAGTTTAAGATATAGGTGTAAGAAAATGATTGATATAAAGAGCTACATATTTGCTCATAATTGGATATCAACCAAATTTTCAAAATAACTGGCCGTCTAAGAACTTCTTAAAGAATGGTCAAGCAAATATTGGTGATAGTTTTCTCTGACACAGAGTAATTTTCCTGTATTTTAAATAGTTATAATAGGATATATATTTTATATAAAAATAATGGCTCTTAAAATAGTGGGCAAAGAGCTACATAGATAATATGATCTAGCACAGGCTCTGCTAAAATGAATTTGGTCAAATCAAAACAACTAAGCCTTTATACTAAACCTAAAAAGCTTGTTTTGTTGCAGACAAAGTGAAGTGGTGAACTGAGGAAGTCTGTTTATAAATAGACTATAGCACTGTCTTTCAGGGATCCTTCAAACACCCATTAGGCACTGAAAGGATGTATGCAGATAGAAGACTCTTTATTAGGTATGAGAAACATAAGATCTCTATCTGTCCTCAACTTGGAAGAACATTCACAAACTTTTCCTTATGTGAATAATTTGAACATTTAATATTAGACAGATATCTTGAGTCTTCTTTGAAAGTTGAATCTGTTTTTAGGTTGACATCTATTCAATTATAATTCTTTAACATCTGAGATTGTTTAAATAACAATGCGTGCATTTTGCCATAAAAGCATTAAAATGAAGACAACATACAATTTAAATATGTATTATTAATTGTTGCCAAGAAATTAATCAAAGCATAAACTAAATTTGTAAATAAGATGTTACTTAAAAGATATTATTAGCTTATATTTAAAAACTGAAATGTGGAATAGATCCTAAATATGTTCTTACAATTGAAGAAGCAGGAAATTAAAAATAAACAATGACAACAAATCTAGGAGAATGAAACAAAACTTTGAAAATCCAATTATAAATTTTATTTGGCATCCAAAAAGCCATGTTATTTCCAACTTACAGAGAATGCTAAAGATTTTCATTTAAAGGATAAAGCCACTTTCTAAAAGCTCATGTTCATCCTTTTAAAAAGTAACTATACAGGTGAAATATAATTATATTTATCACAACTACAAGACAGTTTGTATTATGGAAGGCATTACACAGACTAGTTATAGTTGCTCATAATTGAGCCTATTACCATGCAACATACTTATTCAAATTTGGAAGGCACACTCTAAAAATTTTTAAAAATACAAATAGAAATAAACAACAAAATAACTTTGCTCACATTTAGTTTGCTTTTAATCATTTGTATAATTTATAGTCAATGATTAATCTTCTGGTTAAACAAGCATTGATATCAAAATCAAGGTAAGTTTACAAGATTAGAATATGAGCAGAAGTCTATATTTTCTTATCGTCTCTATAATAATAAAAATAAGAGTAAATGTAAAATATTTTGCTATAACTTACCCAAATATTGAAAGAGAACAAACAAGGCAAAGGGGGCAAAAGTTTTGGAAATCAAATTAGCAAAAAGTTTTGGAAATCAAATTAGCAAATGGATTTTAGATATAAGAAACTTAGACCTTTCCTTTGCCAATGGATACCATTCAAGTTTCAGATGGCAAAATGTTAAGAAAAGTGCAATACTGTAGACAATGAGGACTAATCTTTTAGAAAAATAGAGTCAAACCGGTCACAGATCACTTCAGTCACTCTTCCTAAGACATTCACTAAACAGTGCATTTAAGGGTAAAACAGCACAAAATGTTTTCGCTTAGGAAGTGTACTGAGACCAGAACAGCGATTCCACAAGTGCTACGGTTCTTTATAGAAAGTTGAATAAATTCGTTATTCCCCGAATACTGTAAGGATCTGGCGCACGTGCCTGCTCGCTCGCTGCATCTGTCTGTCTGCGATGACCGTCCCCGCAGAGCACCGAGGGGGCACAGCCAGCACGTGAAGAGATCAGCAGCCTGCTACAGAACGAGTTTCTCAGGAACTTGCAACTCTACTCAAAGCTGTAAATGCGGAGCAACTTACCCGGCTCAGTGCAACAAAAGATGCTAAAGTTTGCAAGCAGCGGAAAGCACGGACTGCCTCGGGGAGCGGCGGCGCGCAGCTGGCTGCAGCCCGGGATCCCAGCGCTCTGACATTACAATCAACCGGGGCTGGCAACGCTCGCGAGACTTGGCGCGCCGGCCGGGAGCGGCGGGGCTTCGCGCTCCGACATCTGTTCAGGGGCTGAGCGGACCGGGCGGCAGTGATTCATTCACAAGAGGACGGCGGGCTTCGAGGGTGAGGGTCGCAGGCGCCCGTCCAACACAGGAGGAGAAAGGACTAGCAGCTTCTGTAAGACAAGCGGGCCTTGAACAGAAATGAACGTTGTTGTTGTTGTAACACTACCAAAACTTTTAAGATTGTTTTCCCTCTGTTACAATTATGTATTTTTCTTAGGCTCCTTTTAAGACTTAATGATGGACCTGTTGTTCTAAAACATGCTGTTACTGAAATCTTTGTACCTTCCATCTGTGCCGGTCATAAAAGAATGTGAAAGATAAATTAAGAAGCAGCACAATTATTCTGCATGGAAAGGTATGAAAAAGTATTAGTTATATTAACTGAATGAATGTCTCTGATATGTATGTCCTTTCAACCCTCACACCCCGACGCTTATTTAATTCATACAAATCTCCGTAATTTCCTTTTCAGAGGCCCTGCAGGCAGTCAAGCGTAATAAGAAGTCACAATTTTCTGGTGAAGACAAAGAAAATACAAAAAACAATCTTCACCAAACTCTGTGGAAAAGGCATGTTTGTCAGCTGCAAGTGTGCACATTCTCAAGAATGTATTATTTTTCTTGAATTAGATATTTGGAAAAATGAAAAACAATATAACTGTTTAATGCCTAACTTCTCAATACAGTTGCATCCTTTATAATTTTCCAATAATTGCTTTCACTTTTAAATCCCTCGCTCTTGGCTCGCTATGGACTAACCAGCAGACATGTAATTGTAGGTATATCCATTTTTGCTTTTTAATATTGCTTAAGATTTCAAACATGCAATATAAGAACCATCGTTTGTAACTGATTCTACTTTATGCCAGTCATTTTAATTGACGGTTTCCACAAATTATTTTATTTTACTCCAACAAATATGAGTTAAATATTATTAATCACAATTTTAGTTGATGAAGATACTACTTATAAAGATCAGACACTTGTTATATATCCTATCACTAATAGCTGTTAGAATCAGAATTTTAACCTAGATTTGTCTGATGTCATTTCATATCAACTGTTTCCAGGATAATAGCCATTTTGATCTCTTAAAGTTATCTATTCTGGGAGAGTTGTTACTTAAGAGGTATTTATTAGATAATAAGCTTCACATTTCACAATCATAATAATTTATCATTTATTTAGAACATAGTTTACTTAATGACAACCTACTTACATGAATGTTACAGAATACATGGTCTATCTAAAGTAGTACACTGACAATTATGGAATTATTGTCTAATATCCACTCACTACTGTGTAAAATATATCATATATATATATACATATTTTATTTTTATTTTCAACCAGAAACTAAACAATAACATGTTTTAAGCAGATTTTTATTTTTAGCATGTTTCAACTGGCTAACATCAACTGATTAGAAAACCTGACAATTTTTCCTCTGCTCAAGTTTTGCTTCAATGAACCTCTTTTAGCTGCTGCCCCTTTAGTTCATTTTCTCTCATGATTTCTCGCCGTGCCACATTATATGATGCTTTATTTCAGTGCATGTTTTCTTTCTGTCTTATTCGAGGGTTTCTTTTCTTGTGGCTGAACATACATACGCTGCTTTGGTTCTGTGACTCCATCACGTTTTCACACATGCCCAGCGGGAGAATGTAGATCACAGGAAGTGTCTCCTTTCAGGGTTAGTAGGCGAGTGTTGCCTGACAGCCTGCTAGGTAGATGACCATGCCATGTGGAGCATGCCTTGTAAGTGACGCTGCTGAAATACCACACCACTCTACACAGATTTGACACTACTCACGTTTTGCAACCATATATGTTGAAGTTCAGGCAAGACAATCATGATGGTCTTGACCATGATTAGATCCTGTTGTCCTATCACAGTGACTTTTTGCTTTTGAGGTTTAGTGTAACTTAGTTACTATTGGACTGGTTGTTTTCTCGATAGCAGCATTCAAGGAAATTTGAGACAGTGTGGGAAATATTAATTTATAGTATATATTAGTCTTCCTTAAGCACACCAATGCCACAAATTGCTTTGTTTTATTAGATTTTTATAAGAGCAATGCCTTCTCTAAAGAAACGATGAATTACAAAAAAGTACATCTACATTTTACATATCACAGAAATGAAAAATATCATGAAATAAATATCATGAAGTATTCCATTCTAGTTTTTTAATCTATGTACATTGTTATAGTTAAAGAGTTGTATATAGCAATAGTCAAATAAGTTATTATCATAATTTTGTTTCCTGTTTTTAATATATTTGATATTTTTATTAAAAAATTAATGACTGATATATTATCAATGAGTATACCATAATTTATTGCAGCGTTTGTTATGTATATGATGACACTAATAATTTCTTTTTTTAAGTTATCTTTATTGTTGAAAGTATTACAGGTGTTCCATTTTTCCCCCTCCAATTGACCCCCTCCACCTCGCTCCCATCCCCTCCCCAGGCCTTCACCCTGTTATTGTCTGTGTCCATGGGTTATGCATATAAGCATATAACTTCTTTGGTTAATCTCTTCCCACCCTCCACCCCTCTTCCCTCTTTCCTCTGAAATATGATCATCTGTTGCCTGCATCAATGTCTCAGGATCTATTGAGTTAATCAGATTCTTTTGTTCGTTAGCTTCTTCTTAAAGAAGACCCTTCAAGATTTCCTGTAGTGCTGGTCTGGTGGTGATGAACTCCTTTCGCTTTTCCTTATCTGTGAAGCTCTTTATCTGACCTTCAATTCTAAATGACAGCTTTGCTGGGTAGAACAATCTTGGTTGTAGTTCTTTGTTTTTTGTCACTTTGAATATTTCTTGCCACTCCCTTCTGGCCTGCAAAGTTTCTGTTGAAAAATCAGCTGACAGTCGTATGGGTGCTCCCTTGTAACTAACTGCTTTTCTCTTGCTGCTTTTAAGATTCTCTCTTTGTCTTTAACCTTTGGCATTTTAATTATGATGTGTCTTGCTGTGGGCCTCTTTGGGTTCCTCTTGTTTGGGACCCTCTGTGCTTCCTGGACTTGTAAGTCTATTTCTTTCCCCAGGTAGGGGAAGTTTTCTGTCATTATTTTTTCAAATAGGTTTTCAATTTCTTGCTCTCTTTCCTCTCCTTCTGGCACCCCAATAATACGAACGTGGGGCCTCTTGAAGTTGTCCCAGAGGCTCCTTATACTATCTTCATATTTCTGGATTCTTTTTTCTTTTTGCTCTTCTGGTTGGGTGTTTTTTGTTTCCTCATGTTCCAAATTGCTGATTTGATTCTCAGCGTCCTCTACTCTACTGTTGATTCCCTGTAAATTATTCTTCATTTCAGTTCATGTAGCCTTCATTTCAAATTGGTGCTTTATTATGTCATTGATGGTCTCAGTTATTTTCGTAATACTCTTACTTATATGCTTGAGCATCCTTATATACAAAATTCTGAACTCTATGTTAGGTTGTTTGGATCTATTTCATTTAGTTCCTTTTCTGGAGATTTTTCTGTTCTTTCCTTTGTGACATGTTTCTTTGCCTCCACATTTTGGCTGCTTCCAGGTGTTTGTTTCTATGTATTAGGTAGAGCTGCTATGTCTCCTGGAATTTGTAGAGTGGCTTTGTGTAGTAGGTGTCCTGTAGGGTCCAGTGGCTCAGCCTCCCCAGTCACCTGAGCTGGGCCTTCTAGGTGCTCCCCTATGTGGGCTGTGTGAACTGTCCTGTTG